GATAAATAAAACGAGAAATGATAATAAATGATATAATAATAAATAAAAAGTATAAAAGATAAATTTAATATTAATACAAATCAAAAGAGAATAAATATAAAATGAAAATAGATATAAATGATAATAATATAAAAGATGAATAAGATTAATAAACAAATAAACAAATACATTTAAATATAAAAGAATAACAATAATAAAATCTAAATAATATAAACATAAAAATAATAAAATAAGAAGAATATAATAATATAATAATATATAGATAATAATAAGAATACAATGATATAAATAATATAAACAGAGAAATAAATATATAAAAATACGATAGATAAAAATACGATAGATAAAAGAATATAAATAATAAATATAAATAATCAAATCATCTATTTCATTAATATTTCATACAAAATGAATAGAAATGATTATAAAATATAAACATAAATATTTATATATTCTGTATTTATCATACTTTTTATTTTTATTTGTTAGGAGCAAAATATAATAAATGGAAAAATCTATGGATGCAAATTTTTTTGCATCTTTTTTCTTTTTTGTAAATTATTTAGATGCATTTTTTCTTTGCTAATTTTCGTACCCACAAGAAAGTACAACACTAATTATTAAAAGAAATCTGAAATAAAACCTAATAGAAACAAATTCTATGAGAAAAAGAAAAGGAAAAACTATAATAAAACAATTTAATGAATGTTAATAAATAAACTAAGAATAAATGGGGTTTATTAACAATGAATTGTGTTTCTTTTATTCTATCACTAAGGCGATTATTAATTTAAACTGAATAATAACATTATCAAATAACACAGTAAATAAAAGCACTAGTAAGATTCGTGCTGCATTATTATATTGACTGGTTTGTATCAGTCAAATAAAAATAAAAGTAAATTTTGAATTGAAAAATGTAGATAGCAAATCAAGAAACAAAATTATTTAATTCTTTTCAACTTGATACTATTGTTAAAGAATAAATTGAATTATAATAATATTTAAAAAAAAACTATAACTTAGTTTAATTATTATAATACAATAGAAATAGAATTTAATTAAATAAATTACTTCAAATAATTTAATTAACAAAAAAAAAGAATAGATTTTGAATTTTAATATTCTTCTTTCCTGAAATTTTCTAATAATTAATAAATTGATAAAAAATATAATAAAATTAATATGAAAAATAAATAATTAGTTTTTGAGAACTTTAAAAGAAGATAATTCAATTAAAAGCAATGAGTTTAATGAAAAAAAGAATAAAAGAAACAATGGCTAAACCATTAATTGGTACATCATTACAAGATATGGTAAAAGGACTTAGATCAAATGCAGGAAATGAACAAGCATTTATTAATCAAACGATTGCAGATATTAAGAAAGACATAGTAACATCAGATATGAAGAGGAAAGCTATTTGTATTCAAAAATTAACATATCTTGAAATGCTTGGACAAGAAACAAATTGGTCAGGATTTCATATCATTGAACTTTCTGCTAAACAATCTTTTTGGATGAAACGAGTTGCTTATCTTGCTGCACAAATTTGTTTACATGAAAGTGATGATGTTTT